GCTTCATTAATATGTTATGGTGTGATAGCATTTAATTTGGTACTAAGGCTTATATTTGACTTCGTCTGGAGCATTGAATGCCGCAGTAGCTGTGGAGTTGCTTCACTTCTCAGGGTACTTTTGCATGATTACTGTGGAAAGCGGGAATATTAGTGGCACTGAACAGTTGCCTTCATCTGATTACTACTTGATGCTGTTGCTTTAAACTAGGCTGTTAATTGTTCAACACACATACTGTGTAGATAGACAGTAGATAGACTGCTGAGCAAGGGAGGTGAGGTAGAGTATTTAGTTTTTGCTCTATGAATCTAATAACATATTTCAAGGTGCACCACAGTTTCTATTTCTGAGGACTCTATTAAACATAGTACTCCACTTAAGTATCTGTTAAATTGGAATTTGAAGCATTTAAGTTATTTCTCTCTCTGGCCTCAGTTTTATTCAGTTCCAACACCTGAGATGCAGAAATTAGTTTTATCCAAATTATTTCAGGCATTTGTTTATACTAAATTCCACCATCTTACAGTTGCTGGAATTATGATAAGGATGATAAGGAAAATAGAGATGCTAGAAAGAAGATAAACTCTCTTTAGTGGGTAGAAAATACCTCTTTCCTTAGAAGCTTGATTAGGTTAGACTGTGGAAAGAGATGAGTTAGATTCAAATACCCCATCCTGTTCTCTAAAACACTGTGCTCTACAGTTGCTGTAATTCTGCTCTTTATCAGTGTTGAAAATCCATTGTTGATATGCTTTGACTTTGTTAGGCTTTGTCTTTGAAGAAGTTTATAATAGACACTGCATATCCATTATGCTCTTATAAAGAGGAGGATCTTTGTACGTCTCAAGAGTCTGCTACTACAGAAGCGTTTGAATCCTGAATACATCCGAAGCTGGGGATTATTCTTCCATTTTCCTCTTGTCTCATGGTTGACATAGTTGTGATAAGATTCTCAACAGCTGAGGCAGCCAGCCCATCAGCTTTCTCCTCTCAGTTTAAAATTTCAGCTTCTCAAGGTAGAATTAGTAAACTTTTGCTATAAACCTAGTTCCTAATTAAACTTTGTAGAAATCGCTTATGGCTAGCAGGATATAAAGACATAGTAAACTTTTTTCCTATACAGAAAAACAAACTGAGTTTGTAATTCTAATTTGCCTTACACTTCCAGTCCACAAGTTTGACATGTGTATTTAAATTCTAGAAAATAGTGAACTGTCTGTGAGTGATTCTAAGTGAAGTTACTCTAGAAAGACATGCCTAAATTTTGCTTTCTTTAAGTCAGTGCTGCTTTTATGCACTTACCAGTATTGTATTGTCACTGTGGATGTGGGTAGTGGGAAGCAAGCAGTCATGCTGCAGGGTTTTATTATTCCTGGCTGAGAAAGGTGCCCATTTGCCACAATGGCTTCTTTAGTTTTTCATGCTGCCTCTTCCCAGTGTCAAGCCTTGCAACATACTGCTTATCATGGGCAGGTTCAGCTGTGCTCTCTGCAGAAATCTGCTTTTGCAGGTCAGGCATACTATGCCTGGCATGAATGGGTACACATTTGGACGAAGTCTAATTCACTGAGCACAGGTAGTCAACTCCTCTTCAGCAGCACCAGGGAAGGGGTTTTCAGGCAGTTGCCTTTGCAAAAACATTGTGAAACTATGTAGGAAAATAAGTTTTGCTATAACTACATGGAGGAACTTCAGGATTTTCTTGAACAGAGAGGGCTGTGACCTCTCCCAAACATTTCCTGCTCCCTCTGAAAACAGTAATAAATCTAGGTACCTTCCATTCTGCCAGCAACATTTGCTAGCGCTCTGCATCAGTGATTCCTGAAACTTGAACAAACCTTACGCATGTTACACACAAAAACTGGAATCCAAATATCTCTGCTTATTCTGGCAGTACTATCTGGATGTCTTTTCACTGCGTTTGCAGAACCAGGAGTCTGCTGGAGTGTGCCGTGACCCTGAGTAAGCCAGATGTATTACTGCCATTCCAGTACTACAAGAGCCAGGGAAGAGGCAGCAGCAGCTATTACGGGACTGGAAGAGAGCAGGGGTATTGACAACTTGTACCTGGAAGGAATCAGTGTGTTGCCAATTTTTTGATACAATGAGGTTCAGCTAAAAAAGTTTGGAGCCAACCTACAGTCAGCAAGTGACAGGGCAAGCAAGGCACAGCAATTAAAATGGGTCTTTTGAGCTCTGTGTTCAGTAGTTAAAACTTGACACAGAAGTAGAAGTTGTGAAACTAGGTATTATTAAGTTCTGGTAAAGCTACTGCATTTGTGGAGCTGGTACGTACTATAAAGGTACTGCTTCAGTATCTCGGGACATCTAGACAGCAAGTAGTGGAAAAGCTTAATTATTCCTCTTTATAGACAAAACATTTGACTTACAAGAGAACATTTTATCACCACCTTGCAATTTCTCCTTTCCTCTCCCCTGCCCTCCTGCTGCTTACAGGGTAGAATTCTTCTCATCTTGCACAAGGATGAAACATGCCCTGTAAGTGCTGAAGTAAATTAGCTCAAATGCTGACATTTCAATTTAATGAGATAAAATTCATCCAGGGAGTCTATTGCTTCCTATGGGATATGGCTGAGCAAAGCAGGTTTTTCTGTTTATGCTACCAAGAGTACATTCTCATGTCCTGTTCTGTGTTGTGCAGGACCTGGGTTCTCCAACGATAGAAGAACAAGTTGATCAGCCTACAATAGATGATGAGACTGTGCTTATTGTTCCTTCTTCCCATGGTTTTATCCAGACAACGGATGATATAGACAGCGAATCAGTCTTGCCCCTGACAACTCTAACAGGTACGACAGTCCCTTCGTATAGTTGATGCTGGAGCTAGGATTCCTTAAAGCAGTATGGCACATTTGAGTTCCTGTAAACAACGCTTTATAGATCCTTGCTTTCTCTTAAATAATTTGCCATGTCATTGCTATGAAACTAAGCAAGTTGGTTACCCAACTGGTATCAGTAGAAGTGGAAGAAAGTCCCACTTAACCTTGTGGGAAAAGCATTAGAACAGCAGCTGCTTCATCACTTGCTGAGCTGTTTCCATCACCCTTGAGCCTTCAATTAGTACACATAGGCTAATAAGTAACTCTTTCTTTAGTGTGCATTTCTTCATGCCTAGTACTTGAATGAAATTTGTTTCTTATTTGAGAGAAGACCAGAGGCATCAGAAATGCCCTTGATGCCACTCATGGTGAGGGCCTGGGCTATCTGGGGGTGTGTTTGCACAGCACTCACCTGGAAGGGCTTGCTAGCTTGTGCCACGCTTCCCAATGCCAAGAGTCATCTCAGGCTTGGAAGCAGCACAGATACATTCTCCCACTGCTGCACCTAACAAATACTCCTTTCCAGAGGAAGGATCTCCTTGCAGAGCCATCAGAGGGGCAGCACTAGGCCTGATAGAGTAACACCTGATGAATCCAAATGTGAGTCACACCAGTTGCATCCATATTAGTCAAGGCTTACCTTGAAACTAGAAATTGAGAACTGCCTAGTTTGAGCAACATTGCTTAAAATTGGTTAGAATTCCAGACTGCATTTTCTGTCTCCTAAGTGTGTGTTTTACATCTTGCTATAATAGCACAGTAAATAATAGTCCTAACGTACTATGTCTCTTGACAGATCCTATCCTACAGCATCACGGAGATGGGTCACACATTATTGGCTCATCATTGGGCAGTCCTGACTCAGAAGATTCAAAGGATGTTGAAGATTTAGTGAGCTGTCACTGAGAAGCAGTAATTGTGTCCATTTTCTATTGACCATGTTTGCATTGTGAAATTAGTTACAACCCTGTGCCACATTTCCAAAGAAAGCAGTCAGTCCATGTCTTTAAACAGAAACTTCCAGTTTGAAATGACTACGGTGCACTTTCTCTGCTCAGGCTATTTACCTCATTTGTAAAGGGTTACAGAGCAGCCAGCGGAAGCCTGATGTACTGCGTCTCAGCCGAGGTGTTTTAGTGTTTTAAATAAACTCTGTTGCAGTGCTCACTGCTAGGATCCACGTGGTCAGTTCTGATCTGACTTGCTACTGGTGTGCTGAACTGCACATCTGGAAAACTGGACAGAAGTCAAGGATGGTGGACTGTATCCTCTTAGTGCCGCAGCAAGAATTAGTTTGCACATGTTTCATGAAGAACGGGTGAGGATTTCTGCACTTACTGACTCTTGTAATACATGGAGTAACAGACTGTTACATTTCAGGAAGAAATGTATTCCATCAAAGACTTCAGGGAGCACGGGCAGCATCATGAAGAAATGGTCTGTATTCCCATCTCATCTGGCTTGTTAGTACGTCTACGGCATAGGAAGAAGACACAGATGCTTATGGGACTTGCCTGGTCTGCTTGTTCCTGAGGAGTCCGTTGCTGGCAACGGACAGAGCTCAGAAAGATCACTTATGGAACATCTTTTTTTTTTTCTTTTCCTTCATCACTACAGCAAGCTGAATAAAAAGGGAAGGGCTATGAGAAAGGGAAGCTACTGGGACCCACCAGCCTCCCCCCACAAGCTTGTAACTTCTTTGAAGATTGTTGTGAGTAGGCTGGAACATTAGTCTCTCTTCTGTTTACATGACACTACCAGCCACCTCTCCAGAGGTGATTTATGCAGCAAGTTAGTAGATGGGAGGTGGTGTGGAGCTGGCAAAGTCTTGGAGAAATAGCTCTGTGAGAATTTGGGCACAGGGCCCCGAGGCAAAGGAAGCCAATTAATTCCTACATACAAGGGTTTGAAACAGACACTAGGCTGAGCAGCAGCCTGTTAGCTAGGGATCAAGAGAAAAAGCTATAGAAACTAAAGACTCATGTATAAATTATTTTATTTATTTCTGTAATTAGCTCTTCATAATCAAGAGTTGGTCTTTTTCAGTCTGTGGTTTTGTTAATGTGAAAAATAAGTTGTAGTTTCAAATGGTTGCCTAGGGAACAGAAATAATTGTATATTCAGTTTAAACGAAATAAAGAGTATTTGTCTTACGTAACTGTAAGATGCCATTTATTTATACTGCTACAGATCCTTGCAGTGCTGCAGTTTATTTGTACAGTAATAAAAAAATGCATTTTTTTCCAAAATGAAAAAGCTTGTGCCATTCTGAAACATCAGTACAACTGGAGTGTTCATTAAGGGCAACAGTAGCTCTTCAAAAAAAAGCAGAATGTCACAGTTTATGGCAATAATTCTCCCCAACAAGAGGGACATTACATATACATTTACATGAAAATCATGTACTGATTTATCCTCGCACAACCCACTTCTTTCTCTCAGGCTGATTGTCCTCACTTAAATGTCTCGATTAGAGCTGAGAGCTGAGCTGAAAGCAGTCTGACACAGTAGCATCATTGCTGGGTATTCCCAATGTCCATCATTTACCCACTTCATGGAAGTACAGGTTGGCACATATACATAACATTACGATAGAAAATAAAATGTAGTAAATTAGGTTCCTAAATTTAGGTTCCAGGTCTCCTTGTCGATACCAGTAGATCTAGAAGAGAGAAGGAGCTTGTATTACTTAAAAATGCTAGGTACTTCTGAGGAAACTTTCTGTAGTAACTGAACTGGTAACTTCTAGAAGTTGGGTTTGGTTTTGCTTGGTTTTTCTGTAAAACAACCCAGCTTCATCTGACCAGAGAAGACTAGGTGTAGAGTCTGGCTAATTTTCTTAACAATTAAAAAATACCACCTGTGTTTTCTTAGCATGCTTGTGGAATACACAAACAAGAATTTGGCAAGGTGTTTCTCCCCAAAACAAGGCTGTTTGTGAAACTAGAGTGCCAGGTTAGCTATGAAGACGTGGGTTGTCTTGTCAGCTTTGTTGAAGAGGGTGGGTGGGTGGGTTGGTTGGTTTGGTTTTTTCAACACTCAAAACTGGCTACACTCTGGTCGATGAGGACAAACACAAGGTTTTGCACTACACAATCTGTCCTGGGCAGAGCCATGGCTACCAGCCGTAGAACCAGAAACTGGTACTAACCGGGCAACGCAGAGCACCTTCCCAGCTTACCCAGCAGTGAGGGGCAGGAGCTCAGGGCCATGACCGTTCCAGGTCACCGTTGGAGGAAGGAGAATGCTCCAAGTGTGAAAGGAAGGAGCCACTGATGTCCCTGCCTATGACTCGATGATCCTTGAAAGTCCCTTCCAACCCAAACCATTCTATGAACTCTGACCTGCCAGTTCCCTTTGCCAGCGCTTGGGACCAACTCTCTTGGGATGCCACAACTCTTGAGTAGAGGAACCTCTGCTACAACCCAGATGAAATGCCACCTGCTGTACCTTCCTGCCGCTGTAATTCATCCCCTGTGCCTGAAAGGTCACCGACTTCTGCAAGTGCCTGGCTGGCCCCACCGCTTTGAGTTCAAGCGTTTTGCTCCACCCCTAGTCTTCTGCAGCACAATCCATCTCTTCATTCCCATCTCACGGCTCTGCTCTTCAGTTTCCTACTCTGTCTCCACTGGCAGCTACAGGTGGCATTGCCACAGAGGTGACAAGTCTTGCATCGCAGCTGGGCTGCAGAAGTTGGCTTAGTTCACACGCTTACTCTGCAGTAAATACAAAACTGCTTACCACTCTTGCACTGTCAACTTGTTTTATGGAGGCAGGAAAGCTTTTCTAGGAGAGTGTAAAAAAGGCGGCAGCACCACGTAAAGCAGATTTTATTCAGATTTCATCCTCAGTAATAGACTCAAAAGCTTGCACGGCAAACGTGGCGGTACTTACAAGTATGCCAGCAGAAATGCAACACAAGGAGATGCAGAAAGCAAAAAATATATTCACAGGTTTTGGAGGTAGTTGCGGGAAGACAAAAGCACTGATTAGAGTGACCTGTATGGAGGAAAACAAAGATGAAGACTTTGCTCTCGCCTGCCGTCAGAGCTGCGATGAGAAGAGGCTCGCCCCGACGGCTGGCGTACCGCAGCTGCACGCCCCTCCCTGCTCTTTAACTCCCACCCCGTAAAGAGCTGGAGGGAAATGTAAAATTCTGGAGGGAAACAGCACTTGGACGCAACTGCAGACTCAGAGGGGTGAAAAAAAAAAATGATGAAAGCTTTGCTACTCTGGCTTGTTGCTGGAAACCATCCTCCCAAGTGCCCATAAAGCCAGCAGGCAGGAGGGTGCACGCTGCCCGTGTCGGAGCACCCCTTCAGCCAAGCTGTCCCCCAGCTGGCACCCTGGCTGTCCCTACCGCCTCCCTGCACCTCGGCTCGCAAACAATGCTGCCGCCGTGGAACGCAGAACTGATGCTCTCCAGTCGCGATGGCGTTGGGTTTCTCTTTAAAGCTTGGGGAAAGCAGAGCTCGAGACAAAGTGACAAACTTTGGAAAAACTCCTATAAGCCATAAACAGAGGGAAAAGAATCATAAATGGAAGGAAATAAAGAGAAGCAAACAAGTTCTCCTGGGTCATAAGCACTTTGTCATCTCACCCAGACTCACGTTCAACCGGGATGGACAATCTGCCCATGAACTTGGGGTTTTTTATTGCACAGCCTTAAAACATGGCTTGAAGAAAGGTATTCTGCTGTTGTCGAAGAGTTTCAAAAGACAGATGCGCCCCGAAGCGACTACCTGGACCCCAAACTACAGCCTGTTCGGTCAGTGAATTTTCGCCGCCCGTTTTGGGGAGGAACTCTGGTTTTCACCCCGTCACCTAAGGGAGGCATGGAACACGGGATGGGATGGGGGATACTTACTACAAGCAGCAAGGACGTTAAGCCGCCAACAACTAGATTGATGACTCTGTCCTGAAGAAAAGAGAGGACAGTTACACGCACGCCTTGCCAAAAAAAAAAAAAGCAAACAAAGAAACATAAAACAGACCAGTAACCAACAAGGCTGAGAGTACCGCATCAGCCAGGACCTCTGTTATCCCCAGCACACCCAGCAGCACCATCGAGGGTCCCTGGTCAGCCCTGCCATGCAGGAAGGTTTCCCCTCCTCTGACTGCATGGACCACAGGGAGGTTGTACTGGCCAAGTCCTTGTGCAGCAGGTTTGCTCTTTTGCAGTTGGCTTCTTCGCTACGTCCAAATCGATTACAGTTGTGCAAATCCTTTTAAAAAATTCTTTTAGAATTTTTAAAAAGTGGGAGTGCACAGACGGACGTTGTCAGAAAAAGCTTATTTTAGCCTCAGTGCCTGAGAATGAATAGCTTGATAGTGTCTTAGGTGGGAATTTGTGGGCTGCTGGCAAGGAGGTGAAGTGTTCCCCGCACCCCAAATGTTCCCCCCTAACACCAGCAGACCTGAACACACCTCAGGGTGGCCCTGCTTGGATGGACAGATATCCCCCCAACTTCTTTCTGCTGCTCCCCATCAGTATAAAACACTTGGCTGGGAGGAGACCACCTTTTTGCACCTGGGAAGAAGTATCCCTCGATGTCAGCATCGCAATCCCACCCCAGATGGCACCAGGGCAGGGACCGGCAGTGACACTGAGCTGCGTGACCGCAGGCTCAGGGGAGCGCCCAGGGCAGGACCCTGTACTGACGCATTCACCAGAGTAAGAAACGACTTGATGCAAAAGCAGAACGTTCCCATCCCTGCCGGGATACCTGCCTCCTCCCTTTCTTCATGGTGCTCCTCTGAATATAAACATCTGTTCCCAAAGGCAGACCGGGTTGCACACAGTCAGGTGTGACACCCCAGACAGTTGGCTCCCCAAATAAAATGCTAGAATAGCTACAGCAAAAAAGATGTGCCAAGAGAAAAAACCCAGAACTTCAATTAATTATACTGAGAGTCATTAAATAGGTACGGTTAAAGGAAAGTAAGAAAAAAGTTGAAGCAGCAAAAGCGTCTTGCCCAAGACATCCCAGCCAGCAGGCCGGGCAACCCAGGTTTCCCTCCACCTGGTCTTGCACCCTTCTTCCCCCCTAGCATTACATTTTGGAAGACAATTTGTAGAGGGAGAAGCCCCAGGTCATGAAGAAGTAACGCATGGCAGCAGGGGGGCAGGAGGAGAAAGCGAAGAGGAGGAAGCAGAGCGCAAAGCATGCTCTTGCAGGAGAGCACCAGCCCTGACCCAAGGCTCGGTGGAGCTCGCGGTTCAGTAACAGGCAGATGCTGGTCGCGTTCATCCCCAAGGGAAAGGATCACAGACAGCAGACTCTTCAAAACCTCTATTAGTCCCCAGCTCCTCTACGTAAAACCAGACCATTTATGCTCCTACGGCTCAGAGGCCCCAAGCATAAATGGGCACGGCGGTGGCTGCAGCAGTGGGGAGTGACCCATCTCCATGGGGAATCGTCACCAACACCCCCTGCGCGAGGTCCTCGCCAGCCAGGCACAAACCCCTTCTCCTCACCGGCATTTCTGCACGCGGTGTTGGCGATACAACAGCAGCCTCTGGGAGCCGCCTACGAGGTACCCACCACTGACCCCAAAAAATGAGCTAAGAGAAATAACTCCAGCCAAATAAGAGAAGAAACAAGGCGAAATGCAAGCACGCTACCTCCACGAGAGCATATCGGGACAGCTCAGCTGGGCTGCTCCACCTAAGCTAAAATAAATTAATTAAAGACCTCAAAGCTAACTTTAATCTAGACAGTATGCGGAGGGGTCCTTACCCCCAAAACAACTCTGGTATCAGGAGAGGACGTCGGTTTTGCTCTGCCCTTGCCTGCAGACCCGGCTGAGCCCACCAAGGCAATTTTAGGGAGGGAGACCAGAGTTTGCATTTGGGCTCGGCTCCCCAGGGACAAAAGGGGTGGCAGGAGGTGAGCAGCTGGATCCCTTCTGCCTTTGTGCTGTGGGGAGATGGGTTTCGGATAGCAGAGGAAGGGGAGGGAAAGCCGAGGAGCCGGCTGCAGAACAGCAGTGGGTCACCATCCCGTACAGTGCACGGTCACAGCCAGCTCATCGCAGAGAGGCTCGGAGGGATGGACACACGGTCACATACCTACAGACAGAATACACCATCCAGAAACTCAGCCACGATTAGGTTTCTCCTAATGAATTAGAGACTTGGAGGGTGGCAATTTTAAAATTAGGAGAATTCACCCATTTTGCCAGGAGAGAGACTGGTCTGCCAGGAGAAAACAAGGTGGTCAGACTCCGTGGTGACTGCGGAGCTTTTCTTTCTGCCTGTTTTACGGGGTGCGGGAGAGAGCGTCCCCCCAGCACGGGGACCTCTCATCTCACACCACCAAGTGATGGAGACATCGCGGCGACAGCCGGATCGGGTACGGATCCCCTTCCCCATGCTTAAACCTGCGGTCACTAAAATTTTCCAAATGCGCCGCCGGCAGAAGAAGGTATTTCAGGATCCGGGGATTAGAGCCACTGATCCTGAAATCCCAGGCTTGGCAAAGCGGCGAGAGGCTGTATTCCCCGGTGCCCGCTGACACTTCAGCCCCAGGCAGCTTAGCACAGCAAAAAGGTTAAAAATACACAAGCAGAGGCCGAGACGGCTAAAGGGATTGGGGATGACGGAGCCTTTCACCTCTGCGCCGTGTCCGAGCGCGCAGCCCAGCCCGGGCAGACACTTGTGGATACCGGGCACACAGAAACGGGCTGTGACGAGCCGGGCGTTCTACAAGCCAAGTCACGCAGCTGGCACAGACCGCTCTT